TCTATCCGTCTATGGGATGTCAAAACAGGATAATAAAAAGCCAAATTAGATGGTCATACTGAAACTGTCTACTAAGTTTGTTTCTCTCCTGATGGAAAAACATTAGCTTCTGGAGGTGGTAATTAATATGGAGGTGGTGATTGCTCTATCCGTCTTTGGGATGTCAAAACAGGATTATAAAAAGCCAAATTAGATGGTCATACTGGTGCTATCATGTCAGTCTGTTTCTCTCTTGATGGAAATATATTAGCTTCTGGTAGTAGTGATAACTCTATTCGTTTATGGGATGTTAATACAGGATAATAAAAAGCCAAATAAGATGGTCATACTCATCATGTCTACTCAGTCTGTTTCTCTCCGGATGGTAATAAATTAGCTTCTGGTAGTGCTGACTCGTCTATCCGTCTTTGGGATGTCAATACAGGATAATAAAAAGCCAAATTAGATGGTCATACTGATGCTATCATGTCAGTGTGTTTCTCTCTTGATGGAAATATATTAGCTTCTGGTAGTAGTGATAACTCTATCCGTTTATGGGATGTTAATACAGGGTATTAAAAAGCAGAATTCAATGGTCATACTAGTGCAATAATGTCAGTCTGTTTCTCTCCTGATGGAAATACATTAGCGTCTGGTGGTAATTATTAATCTATCTTTCTATGGGATGTCACTACAGGATAATTAAAAGACTAATTAGATGGTCATACTAGTGGAGTCATGTCAGTCTGTTTTTCTCCAGGAGGAAATACATTAGCATCTGGTGGCGATGATTAGTTTATCTATCTATGGGATGTTAAAACAGGATAATAAAAAGCCAAATTAGATGGTCATACTAGAGAAATTATGTCAGTCTGTTTCTCTCCTGATGGAAATACATTAGCTTCTGGTAGTTACGATAACTCTATCCGTTTATGGGATGTCAAAACAGGATAATAAAAAGCAGAATTCAATGGTCATACTAGTGCAGTCATGTCAGTCTGTTTCTCTCCTCATGGAAATACATTAGCGTCTGGTGGTGATGATAGCTCTATCCGTTTATGGGATATCAATACAGGATAATAATAAGCTGAATTGAATGGTCATACTAGTGCTATCATGTCAGTCCGTTTCTCTCCTGAAGGAAATACATTAGCGTCTGGTGGTGATGATAGCTCTATCCGTTTATGGGATGCGAGAACAGTCTGTATTTCTCCTGATGGAAATACTTTTGGATCTTTTAGTGGTGATAAGTTTATCCGTCTATATGATTATAGGACACGATAAGAAATTAAATCCTCAAGTATAAATTACAAAGATGTTCTTGCATAATTTACAGCCTGTTTATTTGAAAATAACCACCAACCAGGTATTTATTTTTCAATTATTATTTAGTCTCTAATTATTCTATTCTTGTTATATCACCAGAAATAAAATTGGAAGCACAAGGAACACTAATTTTGTAAGGAGAATTTATAAATCATTAAGGCAATGATTTAAGATATTTATTTAAATCTAAAGGAAGTTTCTTTTTACAAGACTTTAAATAAAGGTGATTTGATTGTTCATTAACAGCATTAAAAATTATAATAAAAATCAATATCTAGCATTTTTAATTATTTCTTTATTAGTTCCACTCTTCATCTTCTTTTATTTAGATAGTTAAGTAAATATTATTATAAAAGTATTATTCCATTCCAGTTATATATACACCTCATTTATATAATATGATAAATTCTATGGTCAGTTTAGTGTAGGGAATATGTATTGAGATGTCATAAAAACTTTTTCATTTAATAATTATAGAGATTTAACTAAAATGATAAGATAAGTGAACGCAACAAAAGAGGCTAAAATAAAGTATAAAATAATTACTTGAAGAAAAGTAATTTAACAAGACTGCATGCTTATTAAGTCTTCTAGGATATGTTGATAGCTTTACATTATTTATTATTATTTATAAAAGTTATTTGTGTTAAAAAATAATGATTAATAGTTTTTTTAGATTAAGTTTTTAATTCATATATAGTTAAAGATATAANTCAGTCTGTTTCTCTCCTGATGGAAATACATTAGCTTCTGGTAGTTACGATAACTCTATCCGTTTATGGGATGTCAAAACAGGATAATAAAAAGCAGAATTCAATGGTCATACTAGTGCAGTCATGTCAGTCTGTTTCTCTCCTCATGGAAATACATTAGCGTCTGGTGGTGATGATAGCTCTATCCGTTTATGGGATATCAATACAGGATAATAATAAGCTGAATTGAATGGTCATACTAGTGCTATCATGTCAGTCCGTTTCTCTCCTGAAGGAAATACATTAGCGTCTGGTGGTGATGATAGCTCTATCCGTTTATGGGATGCGAGAACAGTCTGTATTTCTCCTGATGGAAATACTTTTGGATCTTTTAGTGGTGATAAGTTTATCCGTCTATATGATTATAGGACACGATAAGAAATTAAATCCTCAAGTATAAATTACAAAGATGTTCTTGCATAATTTACAGCCTGTTTATTTGAAAATAACCACCAACCAGGTATTTATTTTTCAATTATTATTTAGTCTCTAATTATTCTATTCTTGTTATATCACCAGAAATAAAATTGGAAGCACAAGGAACACTAATTTTGTAAGGAGAATTTATAAATCATTAAGGCAATGATTTAAGATATTTATTTAAATCTAAAGGAAGTTTCTTTTTACAAGACTTTAAATAAAGGTGATTTGATTGTTCATTAACAGCATTAAAAATTATAATAAAAATCAATATCTAGCATTTTTAATTATTTCTTTATTAGTTCCACTCTTCATCTTCTTTTATTTAGATAGTTAAGTAAATATTATTATAAAAGTATTATTCCATTCCAGTTATATATAGGGAATATGTATTGAGATGTCATAAAAACTTTTTCATTTAATAATTATAGAGATTTAACTAAAATGATAAGATAAGTGAACGCAACAAAAGAGGCTAAAATAAAGTATAAAATAATTACTTGAAGAAAAGTAATTTAACAAGACTGCATGCTTATTAAGTCTTCTAGGATATGTTGATAGCTTTACATTATTTATTATTATTTATAAAAGTTATTTGTGTTAAAAAATAATGATTAATAGTTTTTTTAGATTAAGTTTTTAATTCATATATAGTTAAAGATATAATTTATACCAAAATAATAAAAAAAAGATATGTCAAACTATCACAAGGTTATAAAATTAGATTTCAAGATACCTTTTATTATTTATTAATATATAGTAAAAATATTTCTAAATATTACATTCTGTAAGATAAATTAATCATCAAAAGTATCACCAAAAAGATTAAGATTTAAATAATCACATTAACTTCAAGATGATTTTAGAGAGAAATTAATATCAAGACAAAAATACCACTTTAACGAATCATACATGATAGAGAACAACTTTATGAAAGGATACATAAAGAGAATTATGGATTTCGATTTTTCTATTCAATATCAATTGGGTACTTAATAATTTTGTAAGTAGAAATCTATTGTCATAGCTAGAGTTGAATTTTTATTTCTGAATAAGATATTGGTCCAGCATTCAATATTCTTAATCCACTTAAAAAAATAAACTCATCTTTGTTTATTGTTATATTTCAATCTTTTTTGTATTAAAAGCTAAAAGTTAATTCATCATTCTCTGGAAAATAATAATGTTGAATATCAATAACTAGAACATACATAGGTATTTTTTTAACAAAAGATCAGGCTCCTTAGTGAATAAAACATAAGTAGTGAATTATTTTGGATACTTAAGAGCATATCATAGTGCAGCCTTGCAAACTTTCTGGAATAATTCTGAAACTTATTTCGCACACCTTTCTCGCACATTTGAAAGAGAGTTTTTCATCTAAACCAACCAGTCAGTCTAACTTTCTAATAAAATACCTTAATGAATCAAAAATTAGGATTATTTTTATTTTAATCTCAAAATTTTAATAATTATATTTGAGATATCTCTCAATATATTCATGAGATTTTAATTTCTAAGATGAATCTATGATTTGATTGTAAACATTTCTGACAAGCTAATCTATTTGAGTTTTGACATTTTCTTATAAATTCACATAATAAATCTTCTCAAAATATTTATTGCATATCAAAATGTTATTATTTACTTGTTTCAATAATAAATTAAAATATTAATCAAAACCACATTTAGAATCACCCTCATTTATTTATTTGAATTTTCTTTCCAATTTTTCCAATATATTAATTCTCCAAATCGTTTATAAATTGTTTAGCTATTAAACTTATCTTGTAATTTACTGACATAATATTATATTTATAGACTGTTTTAATTCATTCTAACTTTTAAGTTCTTTTATTTAAATCTCTTTTATATTCTTCTTAATAGAATACATTTCACTTTATTTTTATTTAAATCATAACATCAATAACTATTAAAGTTTCATTTACTTTCTCTGTGATTTCTCTCATTAAAGATTGAACTTCTAATTTTATGTTAATCAAATTATAAACTATAATTTCTGCTTCCTTTTCTTTCTTTGGCAACCATATTAACTTTAAGTTAGTTTATAATTTATAAAAATCCTAAGTGGAGAGATTTATTGATTCATACATAATAAATAAAAAATAATGATTTAATGACTAATTATTATTAATTTACTACTATAAAAATAAATTTAATCAACGTATTAATTAATCAAGCATCATTGTTAATCAAATATATAACATCTATATTTCATAATGAAAGAATGTCTGTTATCTATTTTATTTTCTAAATAATTTATTTGGATAATATTTAATTAATATATTATTTCAAGGGGAATAAACAATTAACAATTAATTAAATCATCAAATCAAAAATATATGATCATTTAACATAATATTTCTAATATATTATGCAATTATAATATGAGAGAAATCTAAATTAATAGAACAATCAAATACTAATTAAATTATTTATAATTTATCAAAATCTAAACTGTTTCATGGCTTATTTAATATAAAAAACTGTTATTTATATAATTAAATATTAATATTTAAAATAACAATTAATAAAGATCAAATAATTCTATAATCAATTGAAATTTAATATCCTTCCAATATTTATTCTCATTTTTTAAATAAATCAAATAATTAAATTATATTTGACTTACTTCTATTATTTTTCTTAATATTTTAATATTAAGGGTATTAAGAATATTTAATTTAATTGTTCTAGAAAAATGTCAATTATTGAGAATGTAAACAAGATTTGTTAAACTCATCAATTTGAGATACTTGCTGTTGATTTATAAGCAGCAAGAGAATAAAAATAAAAATATTCATGTGTTAAGTGTTTAATTGAAAGGATTTAAGGAAATAATATTGTTTTATTAAATGAAGCTATTGAGATGATTAAAGAGATGAAAAATTAATGTAAATATGAAGTAGAGAAAAAAAATCAAGAAACATTGAATAGTATATAGAATCTTCAAAGCTCTGTATTAAAGATCAATGAACACTTTACTCAAGTATTTGATAAATTATAATATAAAATTAATGAAAATATCAATTCAAATGAACAACATATTGAATAAAAGAAAACTAGTTTTGATGAAATGAACTTAGATAAAGATATTGAAACATTATCATTAATTTATAAAGGAAATTCTAATTGTGAATCTATAAAATAAGAATAAAATTTAGAAGAATTTGTATAGATGTTAGATAAAATGCAAAGTGAACTTAGTATGATTTCAAATATAAAATAATTTTCTCAGATATTTGAATCAATTTAATAAATAAAATCTTAATTTTAGATTGGATAAAATACACCTAAGAGAAGATTTGATAAACATGTAATAAATCTCATTATAATATTATTATTAGGAAACACCAACATTAAAATATGTATTTAATCAATATGTTAAAAAAATTATGATGATTAATTTAAGTTAAAATGAATATGATCAAAGTGGATTAGCTTGTGAGAAGTGTATTTAATAATTTCCAAAAAGAGAATATATCACAGTAGAAGATGCAAATACAAAATGGAAAAATTATAAGGATAATAAAAATTAATGATTTCTAAATACAATAATAATAGATATTCTAAATTTAATTCTTCTATCAAATCTATTCAACAATTAAAAGAAATCTATAATTAAACATTAACAGATATCATCTAATAATTAGAACGTTAAAGAAATATGAATTAAAATACATAAAATAATAATTCAAATGTTGTTGATGATATATATGAATTAGATGAATAAGAAATACTAAAAATTGTAGATTTCTTGAGTTAAAAAGATAAGAATTATAAATTAAAATTAGAACAATAAGAATAAGATTAAGTTGATTTAATATTTTATTAAAATTAAAAAAATAATTTGGAAAATCTTATGAAATATAATTTATTGACTAAAGATAATTTAATGAGAATACAAAATTAAGATTAATATGAATAATACAGTATTACTGATATTATTTAAGAAAATTAATATGATAGTAATTCAGATGTGTAATCTTTTTTTAAGAAATTTTTATTATTAGAATAATATTGTTCAATCTTTTATGATTCTTGTAATTTTGATAAGAATTTATAATAAGAAATTGATGATTTAGGTTAATTATCCTAATTATTTAATGCTGAATAATAATAAAAATAATATCATTCATTTTTGTAATATTCAAAAAAAATGAAGCTATTAATCATGGCAGAAGAAAATTAAAAGCTAATCTCATCCTTAGAATAAGAAAGTAATTAAATTAAGTAATCACAATAAGTTATCTAGACTTAATTGGATGAATCTAATCAACAGATTGAAACTCTTAACTCTAAAATAGAATAATTAGATTTATAAATTACACAATATCAACAAGATAAATCTCAATTAAATGAATCTAATTAATCTTTAAATAATCAAATTGAATAATTAAAATCATAAATAACTAAAGTTCAATAAGAATCTACTAAATAATTAAATTAAAAGAATCAAGAAATTAATCAGTTATCATCAGAGCATAAATCTTTATAATCACTATTAAGGGATTAACCTAAACTAATAAANTTAGCTTGTGAGAAGTGTATTTAATAATTTCCAAAAAGAGAATATATCACAGTAGAAGATGCAAATACAAAATGGAAAGAATTATAAGGATAATAAAAATTAATGATTTCTAAATACAATAATAGTAGATATTCTAAATTTAATTCTTCTATCAAATCTATTCAACAATTAAAAGAAATCTATAATTAAACATTAACAGATATCATCTAATAATTAGAACGTTAAAGAAATATGAATTAAAATACATAAAATAATAATTCAAATGTTGTTGAAGATATATATGAATTAGATGAATAAGAAATACTAAAAATTGTAGATTTCTTGAGTTAAAAAGATAAGAATTATAAATTAAAATTAGAACAATAAGAATAAGATTAAGTTGATTTAATATTTTATTAAAATTAAAAAAATCATTTGGAAAATCTTATGAAATATAATTTATTGACTAAAAATAATTTAATGAGAATACAAAATTAAGATTAATATGAATAATACAGTATTACTGATATAATTTAAGAAAATTAATATGATAGTAATTCAGATGTGTAATCTTTTTTTAAGAAATTTTTATTATTAGAATAATATTGTTCAATCTTTGATGATTCTTGTAATTTTTATAAGAATTTATAATAAGAAATTGATGATTTACAAGAAAAAGGTTAATTATCCTAATTATTTAATGCTGAATAATAATAAAAATAATATCATTCTTTTTTGTAATATTCAAAAAAAATGAAGTTATTAATTATGGCAGAAGAAAATTAAAAGCTAGTCTCATCCTTAGAGTAAGAAAGTAATTAAATTAAGTAATCACAATAAGTTATCTAGACTTAATTGGATGAATCTAATCAAAAGATTGAAACTCTTAACTCTAAAATAGAATAATTAGATTTATAAATTACACAATATCAACAAGATAAATCTCAATTAAATGAATCTAATTAATCTTTAAATAATCAAATTGAATAATTAAAATCATAAATAACTAAAGTTCAATAAGAATCTACTAAATAATTAAATTAAAAGAATCAAGAAATTAATCAGTTATCATCAGAGCATAAATCTTTATAATAACTATTAAGGGATTAACCTAAACTAATAACTCCATAATTTTATTTGGAAGTTTGTAAATTGATAGAAGAAAAATCTAAAATGAAAATATTATGTTCTTTTCTTATTTACTTGGGAACAAGAGATGGCATGAATCATACTAAATGTTGGAGTAAAATTAATGGAAAGTATAATTTACTCATTATTTATAAATCCAAAAGTGGAAATATTTTTGGTGCTTACACTCCCTGTTAATGGTTAGAGAAATAAAATGGTTATGTATCAGATGACACATTATCATCTTTCCTATTTTCATAGACTCATAATCAGTTTTTCCCTTTAAAAGAAGCCAATAAAGCAAATGCAATATATAGACACTAATCTTATGGGCCATCATTTGGTAATGGATATGATATCCACATTGGATCCGATTTTACAAGTGGCTCCTCTGCTTTAGGAACTGCTTATTAAATTGATTAATACTAAATATAAAATACAAGCACTCATTTATTTGGGTAGGCAACACCTGACTTAGAAGAATGTGAAATATTAGAGCTTATATTAAAATGAAAGTAATGTATAGAATAAAATTTTAAATGTAAATTAAATGTTTTATAAATACTTAACTTTTATATATTCAAATATTTACAGAAATTATTATTAGATTATTAACATGATCTTTATCGTTTGTTAATATTTTCTAAAGGATTTAAATAACTTTTGAAAAAATTCAAAATTAAGTATGAATAAATTTTATAAAATTCTTCCATCACAATAAACAATTTAATCTAAAATGGCCACTATGAGAGTTACAATTTATTGAAATTTTTAGATTTCTATAATGATTATATATTTTTAAATCAAAATGAAATTTACCTTCAATTATGAAAAATTAATATCTTTAATTTAAATATAATCTTACAATATGATTAAATAAATGAAATCAAATTAATATTACTATAATTTTAATACTATCATAAAAAATCTAAATTTGAAATAATCATAATAACAGTTTAATTTCATCTTCAGTAATTTAAATAAATGCCAAATTATAGTAGTATATTTAATAAAATTTGAATTCAAAATTCATTTTTTCCAAAACCTTATTATATAAGAGTAGTATTGATTGTGATTTTATATGTAATTTCAGGTAATAAATGATTTGTTGTTTTAAACAAAATCTTTGACAAACATAACATATAAACTTAGATCATTTATCAAATAATTGTATATTAAGATATTTGAAATTTGGAAAATAAAATATAAAAACAATTCTGTATAGGAATTTTAAAATAAAATATTTTTTGTTTATTGACTTGTAGAATAGAGAAAACTTAAATAATTAAATGTTAAGAATTTTTTTTGACATAAATGAAATAAATGAATCAATATATTTGTGTTTATTCATTAATTGCATCGTAAAATTTCACTATTTAAAAGTTCTTTGATTCCATAATAGTTATTTACTTGAATAACCAATCAAATTAATTGCATTCTAGTTATTTATTTAAGAATGATTTTTGTTTTTTTTAAAATAAAATTTATATTAAGAATCTTCTTCAAAAAAAGAAAATTGATTAATCTATAATGGTTTTATCAACTTTTATTAATTAAGAAAAGTTTTATTAAATACCTTCTAACCAATGCTTTTGATTTGTATATTAATAAGCATAACCAACTAATAAACCCTCTTTTATTCAGTATTCAGTGATACAATTCTAACTTAAACTGATAGTAATATACATCATTAGCATAGATTGGAGATTCCTAAACATAGATCCTTCGAATATAATAACCTAATGTGGATCAGAATATATTATAGGAGGGTTTGAAAGATTTGCATAATCATAAGCTGCTACAAAGATCTTACTATTACCTCCTCATTATAGAATGAAAATTTCTATGACCCTTTATATGTAATAAGTAGTTTTTCTAAAATAGAATCGATTCATGGGACTTAAATGAGTACTTTTAAGTATATGCTGATTAAAACTTAGTATATAATGTCGCATATTAAACTTTAGAAGACGATGATAATATCTGTGGATAATAGTAAACATATACTAAAGATCAAATTCATAATATAGAATTTGAGTTTGATCATACAGGATTGACAACCTACTTATACTTAACTAGTACTTTGGATAATAGTGCTTGGGATGTATGATTATTTATAAAAAAAGGAATCATGGGGATTTAAGAATTTTAAACTATTTCTCTACTTATGCCCTCCAGGATGTTTGGTTTGTATGCAAAGTGATTCTGAGTTTGATTGTAAATCATGGGTATTAACTCATACTGCCTATACTGAAATTGATTTTACTTTATTTATTACAGATGGATGGACTATTAGTAATGGAGATGTAAATAAATAATAATGTTTCAGTAAGATATTAAAATGTTATATTAGTGATTCCCACTATATGTGGGAATGGAGTTTGTGGAAAAGATACTGTAGTGTCTTTGAATTTAATAAATATTCCCACTCATTCATAAATGAAAATAAAGCTAAAGTATTTAAAGATTGATAGTTGGGAAGTGACAGATTAAGTTTAATTGAAAGTTGATGGTGAATTGAAATTGGATTAGAAGCTCTCATTATTAGATGAATATTTATATGGAATTTGTGGAACAACTTAAAAAGAAGTATTTGTTAATATAGAACTTACATTTCCTCATTCTATTTCTAGTGCCAGAATAAAAATTGAAAACACTTTAGATTAAACATTTTTAGACGAGTCTTTTGGGATAAGAGACATATAAATATTTATAAGTATATATAATATATATATTTAGAATAATCAGTATGTGGTGATCAAGTAGTTGAATTATAAGAAGAATGTGATGACGGCAATTTGTTTCCATTTGATGGTTGCTTTAACTGCATGTTTTCATGTGTTGATGGTTGTTCTGAATGTAGAGATATGATATGTTTAAGTTGTTATGAGGGTTGGATTTATTTGGAATATGAATAAATTTGTGAAAAAGAGATTATTTAAGAATATTCTTTAATAACTATCCTAGAACTCTAAACTTAATTTGATTTTTTTCCTCCAATAGATAATTGTTAGGTTTGTTTATTGGGAAAGTGTATTTTATTTCAAAATGACTTTTTTTTTAATTAATTTAATANACTTGTTGAATAGAGAAAACTTAAATAATTAAATGTTAAGAATTTTTTTTGACATAAAGGAAATAAATGAATCAATATATTTGTGTTTATTCATTAATTGCATCCTAAAATTTCACTATTTAAAAGTTTTTTGATTCCATAATAGTTATTTACTTGAATAACCAATCAAATTAATTGCATTCTAGTTATTTATTTAAGAATGATTTTTGTTTTTTTTAAATAAAATATTTATTAAGAATTTTCTTCAACAAAAGAAAATTGATTAATCTATAATGGTTTTATCAACTTTTATTAATTAAGAAAAGTTTTACTAAATACCTTCTAATCAATGCTTTTGATTTGTATATTAATAAGCATAACCAACTAATAAACCCTCTTTTATTCAGCATTCAGTGATACAATTCTAACTTAAACTGATAGTAATAAACATCATTAAAATAGATTGGAGATTCCTAAACATAAATCCTTCAAATATAATAACCTAATGTGGATCAGAATATATTATAGGAGGTTTTGAAAGATTTGCATAATCATAAGCTGCTACAAAGATCTTACTATTACCTCCTCATTATAGAATGAAAATTTCTATGACCCTTTATATGTAATAAGCAGTTTTTCTAACATAGAATCGATTCATGGGACTTAAATGAGTACTTTTAAGTATATGCTGATTAAAACTTAGTATATAATGTCGCATATTCAGGTTTATAAGGTACAGGTCATATCTGTGGATAATAGTAAACATATACTAAAGATCAAATTCATAATATATAATTTGAGTTTGATCATACAGGATTGACAACCTACCTATACTTAACTAGTACTTTGGATAATAGTGCTTGGGATGTATGATTATTTATAAATAAAGGAATCATGGGGATTTAAGAATTTTAAACTATTTCTCTACTTATGCCCTCCAGGATGTTTGGTTTGTATTCAAAGTGATTCTGAGTTTGATTGTAAATCATGGGTATTAACTCATACTGCCTATACTGAAATTGATTATACTTTATTTATTACAGATGGATGGACTATTAGTTATGGAGATGTAAATAAATAATAATGTTTCAGTAACATATAGAAATATCATATTAGTGATTCCAACTATATGTGGGTATGAAGTTTGTGGAAAAGATACTGTATTGTCTTTGAATTTAATAAATATTCCCACTCATTCATAAATGAAAATAAAGCTAAAGTATTTAAAGATTGATAGTTGGGAAGTGTCAGATTACGTTTAATTGAAAGTTGATGGTGAATTGATATTGGATTAGCAGCTATCATAATTAAATGAATATTTATATGGAATTTGTGGAACAACTTAAAAAGAAGTATTTGTTAATATAGAACTTACATTTCCTCATTCTATTACTAGTGCCAGAATAAAAATTTTAAATACTTTAGATTAAGCATTTTCAGATGAGTCTTTTGGAATAAGAGACATATAAATATTTATAAGTATATATAATATATATATATTCAGAATAATCATTATGTGGTGATCAAGTAGTTGAATTATAAGAAGAATGTGATGACGGCAATTTGTTTCCATTTGATGGTTGCTTTAACTGTATGTTTTCATGTGTTGATGGTTGTTCTGAATGTAGAGATATGATATGTTTAAGTTGTTATGAGGGTTGGATTTATTTGGAATATGAATAAATTTGTGAAAAAGAGATTATTTAAGAATATTCTTTAATAACTATCTTAGAACTATAAACTTAATTTGATTGTTTTCCTCCAATAGATAATTGTTAGGTTTGTTTATTGGGAAAGTGTATTTTATGTCAAAATGACTTTTTTTTTAATTAATTTAATGATAAATGTGAGTAAATTTGTTTTGATCAAATTAATAGTTATTATGAATTATGTGATGAATATTAATTATAACCATTTTGCAATAGATGTTAAATTAAATGTAATGATCATTGCCTAAATTGTAATTAAGGTATTTGTTAGGTATGTGAGAATGATTTTATTTTGGAAAATAATTATTGTATTTAGATAGGGAAAGTCAATTTATGTTAACCTTAATGTTAGATTTGTATTGATAATATTTGTTATAAATGTTAATCTGGATAACTATTAATTTTAGGTTAATGTTAAAACATTTGTGGAAATTAAATAGCACTTTACACACTTGAAGAATGTGTTTGTGATCTTTATTGTGAGGAATGTGAAGATGGTATTTGTTATTAATGTAATAACTATTTTAAATTATTTAATAACTAATGTATAAGTACATGTGGAGATCTTATTGTTTAAGAACATGAAGATTGTGATGACGGTAATAATATTGAATTTGATGGTTGTTTCTATTGCTAATATTCTTGCCCTATTGAATGTATAAAATGTGAATAAGGAATATGCCAAGATAAATGTTTACCAGGGTTTTATCTTATTAATAATATCTGTTCTACAATATGTGGAGATTCAATCATTGCTGGTAATGAATAATGTGAAGATAATAATACTTAAGAATTTGATGGTTGTTATCTATGTTAATTTTCATGTCCTCTTAATTGTGAAGAATGCATTAATGGAATATGCTCTAATTGCAATTTCGGATTTAAACTTATTGAGAATAAATGTACTAATGTTTGTGGAGATGGTATCATGTCAAATGAAGAATAATGTGATGACGGGAATCAAGAAAGTGGAGATGGATGTTCTTAAATATGTTAAGTGGAAATTGATTGGATTTGTAATTAAGGTAATGATTGCACATTCGTTAAGTACCCAAATCTCAAGTGTGAATATATGATGCAGAAGAATTAATATTAATATGCTTAAATTAAATTCTCTTAGGCTGTTTAAATGCTCTCAGATATCAATTATTAAAATACAATAGAACTTTCAATTATTGATTTAAATTAAACACTTTATGCAATTACAATTAAGGAAATATAATCTGCTTAATATTAAGTTACAACAGATGTAGAATATATTGTGTAAATTGAAATCTTTACAAATTTACCTAATCATCCAATATTAAAAGTGAAATTAACAGAATAATTATTTAGTGCTAATCTAGCTCCTTTAGTAAATATGGTTGATTATTTATAATTAAATTAACCTAATTATACAACTGATTAATAAGTTTATATTGCATAAACTGTTTAAATGATTAGTGAAATATCTGTTAAATCAATATATGCTATATCAATTATTCTAATTCTCTTAGGGAATGTACTCTCATTTTGGGGAATATTAGATGCCCTTTAATAATAATCATATTTAAAATTTATAAATGTCTTATACCCTTAAACTTTAATTATATATTTTTAATCAAGTGAATTGATATCAGTCTAATCATTATTGAATAGCATTACAGATTTAAATAAGAAAGCTAAATTACTTTAATTTCCTTATCTAGAGTCATATGAAAAATTTTAATATTATGAAGTCAATGCAGATATTACTGAAGGATTTAGAACAGAAATTCTTGTTTCTCTCACTCTACTTTTGTGTTATATATGTAGTATTTTATTAGAGAGAGTCATCTCAATCTTGGAGTTAAGTTCAAGTTTATAAGGATTCCCAAAATTCATTCGTTTTTTACAAAAATAGTAAAGAAAACTCAATTTATAGATTAAAAAAATAGATATTAGTTTTATTAAAAATACTTTGCTAGCTTGTAGTTGGGATCTTATTTTTATGTCATTACTTGAATTATATTCAGATCATGATTTCTCTTATTATAGATCTTATGTTCGTCTATCTATAACTTTTGTAATACTAATCATAATTATAACTTTAATCTTATCTTAAATTTCAGGAGTAACTCCTTTGAAAAAATAAGATTTAAATCAATTTTGGTTATAAAAATAACCTGTTTTTCTTTTAATAAAAAAGATTTCTATTATATCAATTCTAGTATTTTACTAACGTGAATAAATACTTTAAACTTTGCTTATGACTTTTGTCAATACTTTTTATTTAATTTATATTATCAATATGAAGAACGCTGAAGAATTTCAATTCTACATCAAAAATATAATCATGGAAACATCCCTAACATTATTTACAGCATCAACCTTCTTAAATTGGGATATATTATAACGATACCTTTCATATAACTTTATAATTACAATAAGTTGGATTTAGATGTTCCTTTTAGTAAGTGTTTTAATTTCCTTTTTAATTTTCGAGCTATATAATTTATTCTATGTAATCAAAAGGAAAATAACTAAGTTAATTGAAAAAAGAATGAGTAAAATTAAATCAAATGAATAGCAATAATCTCAAAAATTAGACAATTAAATTTAAAATGCCAATTTAGAATTTCAAAAAACTATATTTTAAAGAGTGAGTTTTTTAAAGGACAAACAAATCTAAATCTAAAAATGAAATTGTATTATTTAAATAAATATATATATATATATGTCAAAATTCATTAATTGTATTATAAATCTTTAATGTGTAAACAGGTTGCTATAATTTGATGTAGCTCTTTTTGTTAATTGTAAAACATACTGAAAAGTGAAGATTAGGAGGTCTAAAAATAAGGGCTAATAAATATTATATCAAATTAAATTGTATTTAAAATATGACTAAATCTCTCATTAGAGCAATATCATGAGTTGTTTGTGGTACTACATAGAGTAAAGTCCAAATGACTCTTAGTGATCCTAACCAAATTATAATAAGTCCATAAGATCCGATCTTTATAATATCTCATTTGACAACCATTTCAATATTTATGATTTCCTAACATTATAGCTTCTACCTTAGACTGTTAAATCTATTCATAATGAAAATAATCCCTCTTCACATTATTAGTGTTATACTCTAATATCTCTCTCTCATCATTTTCTCCCATCTCTCCAGATTACCTCGATATTTGAAATCTCACTTATCTCTTTGAAATACTATATGATACTTCCAATGTCCATCTTTATGTCTATTGTTCCATCTTCTATAAGTCATAGTTGGATATCTATTGTTAGGTAAAAATTGATAGAGAAAATTTTTACTTCATTTTAACATCCTAAGTAACTTATGTTATAATTTGTTAAGTTTGATTATTGGTTACCATATTTTAATTTATAA